CGGACCCACTGAGGGTGCAAGGCGGTGGACCCACTGAGGGCTGACCACAGTCACACATTCGAGCGCAGAAAAACTGGTGAAGGAGCAAAGCGGTGAGACAGACCCCAGTGCAGGCCCCAGTGGCGGAAAGTGGCAGAGGGGGACCACCGTTGTCCCTCTCTGACCCCGCCCCCACATACAGCATCACAAACCAGTGACCTGGGTGGCCCTGCCCTGGTGAACACCTCCTCGTACGTAACAGGCACGAACAGATCAAAACATGGCTCAAGAACAACTCAGAGCCCCAGAGCCAATAAATCTAAGCGATGAAGAAATAGCCAAACTTTCAGATGCACAGTTCAAAACACTGGTGATCAGGATGCTCACAGAACTGCTTGGTTTTAGTCACAAATTAGAGGAATATATGAAGGCTAAACTAATTGAAATGAATGGAAATGCACAGGCAACCAACAGTAATGGAAAAGAAACTGAGACTCAAATCAAAGGACTGCACCAGAAAGAGGAAAAAAATGACCAAACAGAAAAGGATGAAGAAACAAGAATTCAAAAAAATGAGGAGAGGCTTAGGAACCTTCAGGACATCTTTAAACGTTCCAACATCCGAATTATAGGCATACCAGAAGGGGAAGAGGAACAGCTACGAGTGGAAAACTTATTTGAACAAATAATAAAGGAGGACTTCCCTAATCTGGCAAAGGAAATAGACTTCCAGGAAATCCAGGAAACTCAGAGTCCCAAAGAAGTTGGACCCAAAAAGGAACACACCAAGGCACATCATCATTACATTAGCCAAGATTAAAATGAAGGAGAGAAGCCTAGAAGCAGCAAGAGATAAGGGGACAGTCACCTACAAAGGAGTTCCCATCAGACTGTCGGCAGGATTTCTCAAAAGAGACCTTACAGGCAAGAAGGGGCTGGAAAGAAGTATTCCAAGTCATGAAATCCAAAGACCTACAACCAAGATTGCTCTGTCCAGCAAAGCTTTCATTTAGAATGGAAGGATAGATAAAGTGCTTCTCAGATAAGATCAAATTCAAGGAGTTCATCATCACCAAGCCCTTATTACATGAAATGTTAAAGGGACTTACCTAAGAAAAAGAAGATAAAAAAGATGAACAGTGAAAGGACAGCAAACTCACAGTTATTAAGAACCACACCTAAAACAAAAGCAAACTGAGGACAGCTAGATCAGGAGCCGAACCATAGAAATGAAGATCACATGGAGGGTTAGCAACAGGGGAATGGGAGAAGGAGAAGGGCGGAGAAGGTACAGAAAATAAGTAGCATAGATGGTAGATAGAAAATAGATGGGGGGGGGCAAGAATAGTGTGGGAAATATAGAATCTAAAGAACTTGAGATACATGGTCATAAACTAAAGAGGGGGAAATGGTGGGGGAGGGGTGTGCAGGGTGGAGGGGAATGAAGGGGGGAAATAGAACTGTAATGGCATAATCAATAAAATATATTTAAAAAAAAAAGCTAGCTGGGCCAGAGGCCAGGATCCTGCCGGAGTAGGCCCATGTTCCTGGAGGCCACTGAGAACAGGGACTTTCCCCGGAGTCCAGGGAGTGTGATGTCACACTGCCATGGGGGGTGATAGCACAGAAATAAGTATAATGACAATGCTGTCACACATGCTTGGCTCAGCTCCCAGTTTGCTCATTTGACAAAATAATCTTTTGGGTAATGCTGGCTGCAAAGGCGCTGCCTAATTTACCCTGATTTCCTACACTGCTCTTAGGTGCAGGCCGTGCCCAGCTTCAACGCTGAAGAGCAGCCCCGCCCAGTGTCTGTAATTCAGCACAGCAGTGGAAGGCACCGGCGGGACAAGCACCATTAGTCCGGGCGCCACCCTGATAAATAAACACCACACCACTTCCCTGTTGAGCCCCAGACACAGAAGCATCTGATCTGAGGCTGGATTCCAGCAGCACAAAACTGACAGGGGCCTCATGTGGGGGCTCCTTTCCGGGAGAAAAGGGGGCGGGGGGAGGAGAGGACCACTGCCGACTGGGTCCCTCTGAGCAGAGCATGTGGGTGGAAACACGTATAAGTAACGACTTTTAAACAAACAGAATGCATCACTATGGAAACATTCGGTTTTTCAAAGGCATTGTTAAGAAAAACGATCAGGAATTCAGATTCAATACTGCAAGTGTTTATGACCAGAAAAGGCAAAGTGGGTCTCAGATACTCTGCCTCCAAGTAAAAGCTGCCAGAACTCAAGGAAAAACACGCCCACTGGGCAGGGGCCCTTCTGTGTCAGGGCTCTGAGCCCTCCCACTGGGGCATTCTGCCCATCGCAGCGCCCACTTAACTCTTGGACGCCATTCAAGAGAAGGTGCCACTCACGGGCCAGACCCGGGCAGACCTGCCATGCACTAGGACAGGGTCACTTCGGCCTTGGAGGCAGCAGGGAGTGAGTGCTGACAGGAAATGGCAGGTTTGTGAGCGGGTGACCCAAACTTGCCGGGAGCCGCCAATGCCACCTGAATGTGTAGTCCAGCTGACAGTGTGGGCCCTGATCCCCGTACGGGGACGCAATCTGGCAGCAGGTGCAACTGTTCTGACCTGCGCCCCAGGCACGTGCCCGTGTGCGGCCTGAGCCACTCTCTGGGGCTGTCTGCCGACTGGCGCTGTGCAGTGTTGTGAAGAAGCCGATGCTGGGTGTGCACACCATTCAGTCCCCAAATGTACCCACAGGTAAGCACAAAGGGAGGAAGGGGCCACTTATCCACCTCTGAAAGTTTCTCAGATGTGGTCAAGAAGCACTCGAGTCATTTCCCAGCAGGGCTGGATAAGAACTTGTCTACACTGGTGCAAACGAGATACTGTCCCTGTCACACCCTGCCCACCCCCTACTCCGCCAACGTGAGCTTCCCAGGCAGAACGATCGATCTGCAGACAGGCAGCGGGGCAGTCAGCTCTGCCGGCAGGCACTGGGTGTGTGACAGGCTCAGCGGCTTGGCAAGAGCAAGCCCTGAGGCTCAGGGCCCCAGGGAGGCTGAGTGGACTACTCTGCCTAAATTCAGGCAAAAAGCAGTTTAGGGTTTAGCCTGCTGCCTGAATTCTAGCATCTTTAAGTCCTGTCAAATTTCTGAAGCTCCTGGAGACTCAGCTGCCGGGCCTCACAGGGGAAACAGCACCTTTCTTGCAGGGCTGTGGGGATCAGGGACTAGGAGGAAAAAGCTCGGAGGACACTGTGTGGCAGGTTATTAAGGCTAACAGGAAGGGCAGCTAAAAAACAAAACTTTTTTTCCTCAAGCTACAGCCATCGTATTTGCTTCCTCTGCTTCATGGGTCACGGCGTGAAAACAGCTCCCTGCGCACTCCCAGCTGAGACCTACCTCGGAGGAGACCCGGCGGCAGGTGGGTCTCACAGTCAGTCTCCGAGCGCGGCCACCCTTCACCAGGGCCTGCAGTTCCTGTCTGGTCCTAACCCCTGGACTATTACTCTGGCCACTATCTACTTCTCTTTTCAGAAGGGACATTATCTTAGTGGTGGGAAGATGGCAGTTCTAGCACTTGACAGCAAGAAACGAAACTCGAGGCTGCTCTCTCAGATGAAGGAACCCAGGTGGCGGCCGAGCTGTCTGCTGTCGAGTAGGAATGTGCTTCCCCGGCAGACACGGCCCGATGAGTGAGGAGATGGGGTCTGCAGCTGACGCAGGGGAGGTCAGGACCCTGCATTAGGACGGCTGCTGAGACGCTCGGCACCATCTGCCAGGTCTCTCATGTCCGGGAATGGAAGAGGAACTTCCCGGCATCGTGGGTCCAACTCGTAACCAAAACTGGCTGTGCCACGCTGGCCAGGTTTTGTGTTTTAATAGAAAAGCTAGGAAGGAAATAGAGGCTTTATTTTTCTGGTGATTTGTACCTCCCTCACAGGAAGTCTTGGTATGATGCTCGTATTTTATAAACCTTTTAGGATTTCTTAGAGAAAGGAGATGTACACATGCAACATTTAAAAAAAGGAAAAAGAAAAGGTGGAGGGGTTCCAGCGCGAGAAGCCAGCTTGTTGGAGAGGTTGTCAGAGAACAGAGCCCGGCCAGGCACGGCGTTACGTCCGAGTCCTGGCCTGCCTCGTCTCTGGCACTCGGCCATGATCATGGGATCATCGATCTTGCGGCACAGAATGGAAACAAGATCAAAAGCAAGAAGGCTCTGTAAGTTTCCCCCACGGGCAGCGAGGGAAACTCTAACTTCTTGCCCTATTTTCATCCACTTTCTTTCTCTCCGGTTTTCCTTATCTCGGGCTGGAATTCATCTGGCGCAGTGCCCCACAGTCAAGAGGTCAAGACAACACGCGCTCTGCTGATGCAACAAAGGGCAGCCACTCTGTCCTGTTTTGGGAACCTCAGTGACGTCACAGACTCAACCCCGAGTCTCGGGAACTTGTGTCTGGGAGAACACTGAGTCAGAAGCAAGCCTTAGTCACAGGGCCGCTGCCATCCGAAGGGAGGAGAACCATTAGGTAACTGGCCTGTCCCCTGAGGAACTGCTCTGGTTCGATCTGGCTTCGGTTGAGATGACTCTAGCAATTCTCCAGGGGAAATGAATTTACGTGGAGCAGCTGTCAGGAGCAGGGCATTTGCTGCTCTGCGCCTAAATTTCTCATGACGTCAGTCAAGTATTCCTCTGTTTGAGGGGACCGTTTTCTCCTGTATTACAAGTAGGTCCAGATGGCGCTGGGAGACGCCCAGCCTAGAGAACAAACACGGCCTTCCGTCTTTACTCCCAGGCCTGCAACCCGACTGAGCGTCCTGTGAAGGCTGCCTGGCAAGCATAGAGTTAAACACGGTGCTTCCAGAATCTGCAGCCTTCCGTTACAATAGCACGTGAGCCAAAACCTTACGGGGCCCGGGCCGACCGCAGCAGAGCTCTGTGAAACCACCTCTGTTTGGGTTTCAGCAGCTGTCTGCCTACGGCGGCTCCGGAGTCCCTGACGCATATTTACATCTCCTCTTCACCGAAGTCACGAGGAACAAACACATGTGGATTTCTACCAGGGGCAAAGGCAATTCATTTTTTCTTCAAACAAAGCAGGGGACAGCAGGGGAAAAACTGCTTATGGACAGAGTCATCTGTGAGCGCAGCCACAGCAATTTTCCTAAACAAAATATGTGATTCCAAGATGTGATGAGGGATTACTGTCTCCGCAGTAAACACATTATGAACATGAGCTGCTGGCTGGCACTGAACAGGGCCCTAATGTGGGGAGTCAATTCCGCCCTCGTCTTCCAAACAGCAGGCTGGGGGAGCAGCTGGACCGGCCTCTCGAAGTTTCCCCACGGTGCACGGCCTGCTCGGTCTCAGCACGGCTTCTCTCTCAAAGGCTTCACATCACCAGCGCGCCCCCCCAGGGTCTGCGTAGACTGTCCGGAAGGTCAGGTTTATCCTCGGCTCTCTGGAGTGGTACTCTTTGGGCACCCGATGCTAAATGGAAATAGAAATAACTTTGACATAAACACACACATGGTTTTATTTCAAAGCCATTTGAAGCTCATTTATCAGTACATACACGTATTTCGATTTCCTCCTCACTCAGATGAGCAGCAGTAAGATCTCTAGGGTCGTGGAGAAAGGTCTTCTCCTCTTCTTCTCCGAAACAAACCCCACCCCCACTCTCACCACGAGATGCCAACAAAAGACGTGGGATTCTGCTCTCATGCTAAGTGTTCGCACGTTAATTTGTACACCTTAAAAGTGAGCTGCTTGCCCTGGCCGGCATGGCTCAGTTGGTTGGAGCTTTGCCCCATAACCAAAGGTTGTGGATTTGATTCCTGGTCAGGGCACCTACCTAGGTTGCAGGTTTGATTCCCGATCCCTGGCCTGGGTGCAGACGGGAGGCAACCAATCGGTGCTTCCCTCTCACGTTGATGTTTCTCACTCTCCCTCCTCTCTCTAAAAGCAATGAAAAATGTCCTTTTTCATTGGGCGAGGATTAAAAAGAAAAACTGAACGGACTAAGCCACAGAGCCACGCAGCTTAATACGCCAGTCACTAGTGCTCAGAGGCTACTGGGTTTGGACTCAGTCCCCCAGCAAACAGGCCATATTCAAAGAGACCCACGGCCACTTGTGTCTAGTGGCCGCTGCGTTGGGCTGCACAGACATCGGACACCTCCATCACTGAGAAAGTCCACGGGCCACCGCTGCTGTGGAGGCCCAGTCTGACTGCCAGTGGTGTCAACACTCCTTGGCAATAATGTCACTTTGCTGCCTCTTGCTCATTATAAAAGCTACTTGCTTTGCACCATGTTTACCACAGAAATGAATGATTGTAAGTCAGTGGGGAAGCTGCCTCCACGTGGGAGCGAATCCACATTACTTGCATGTTCTCACCTGCCAGTCAGCTTGCGTAGCTCCTTCCATGATTAACAGGGTCCCATGATCCAAGGGTATCTTCACTCGCTCCACATATGTGTAGTCCCCATTCTCTTCCTAGAAAACAGCATTCGCTGCACTGAAGTGTGCGGTCACGATGCAACAGAACGTGACTCTGGTCAGGGAAACAGACACCTCTCCTTGGCCAGACCGCAGGGGTCACTGCCTGGCTCTGTCACTTGGCAGCTTTTTGGCCTCAGGCCAATTATTTCACCTCTCTGCACCTCAATTTCTTCCTCTGTAAGACAGGGATGATGGCCACGCCTGCCACACAGGGCTGTTGTGGGCCAAACTGACACTGGACGTGGCGATTGCTTGGACACTGGCACCAAGTACGTCACTGTAAGTGCTAGCTGTTACTACGTCAGCATCCGAAATGCAAAAAAGCCCATTCTGGCCCATGAAGAATTACTTACACAAGAACTCTTTACTTCTCTCTACGCCGTGTGCTGTGTCTGACATAGCATGGGAAAATGGGCTTTCTATCCGGACCTAGGACAATGATTTCCGACTGCCTGTCACATGTATGCTAATTCACTCATCGGGGCCTAGGTTCACACTAGTCACAGCCCTTCCTACAGTCCTTCAGTGCTTTGGAGACATACTCCTGTTCCAGAATGGTCAACAGTAGATGCACTCAGAGAAGTGAGCTCTGGCTCGACCAGAACAGTGTTGTACACGAGACTTGCTGTTCGAGTCTTGGAAAAGGGACCGCAATGCCTGAACACTGAGGACACGAATGCCGGGTACGCTGCCCCTCTGTCCCAGGGAGCTCCAAGTCATGTCACGTCCAGCACCGCCACGAAGCTCCACAGCACAGCCTGCAAAGCAGCCGACAGGTGGGCGCGTCACGCACCTTCCTCGCTCAGGGCAACAAAGGCGCGTGTGTGGAGAGCCGAGACCGGGACCATGAGGAGCTTCCCGCTGTCCTCCCTCTACGCTGGGCAGACCTGCCCATTCATGCGCTCCACTTCCAATGCACGGGATTGCATCTGGGTGAGCGCAGAATTTATTTCATTGCAATACTGTGTTTATGTTTATTATTGGAGGGGTGCTTATGAGAACATAACTATTTACAATGACTTCCTTCAGGAAAATGAAAATCAAAACAATAATGAACTTGCATAAACAGTGTAAGGTCCAGGCCCCAACCCTTGGCAGTGGCTTTGTAAGCAAACTCCTAATTTTTACAGGCAGGAGATAGGAAACTATTTGAAATAACTTTGTTTCAGTGACTGATTTTAATTGGGCCTGCCACCTTTCTCTTCCAGCAGTAGGAATGAATCAAAAGCATTCGCCTCTGACCCTTCCGCCAACCAAAGAGCAGTGGGAAGGGGACCCTGCCCTTCTCAGGAAAGCTCCCTCTAAGAAAAGCAGCCGACTGTTCTTTGAAATAAGTACTCCAGACAGAGCAGATGTACGTTCCACTGCAGAGAAGACATCAGAAGGGAGTGCACTACCCACGAGAGGGGGCCCCGAGGCTCCGTGACTTGGGCTGCGTGAAGCCGGTCGCCAGATGGAGGCGCACACAGTGGGTGCAGAGCTGCTGCTCCCCACACCGCCAGGGAGTGCGACGGGGCCTTAATCTCTCCGGCACAGACACCAGGACAGGAAAGGGAAATGGCGTAGGGAGGGCAGACACTTAACCGCCACATGGAGATAATCTGGAGACGAAGATCTCACAGAACAGCAAAACCAATGCTGGGGAGAGGGGGTGCTAAGGCCTGTGGAAGAGAAAAGGTGAGCACTATAATCTACCTGGAAACATGAGGCAGGAGCAGACCTAGCGAGTGAAAGAGAATCCCAAACACGAGAGGGAAATGTCAGCACTGATGGAAAGCGGTCAGCACAGGAGGTCTCCGTTCCACTGAACGCTCCCGAGATCTGAGTTTTTCAAATGAGAGAAAGCCTCAGGTCGGGTTACACAAATGACGTCCAGCGAACCGTCAGTCGGACCTGACAGTAGGAGTGTGAACCTTCACTGGGGACGGAGCGACTCTGATCCAGTCCCCAACGCAGACAGCAAGGCACAGCAGCCCCACTGCGAAAGGTGCTTCCATTGCTTTGAGCTTGTTACCTGCTCCTCCCGACACACTGGGCTTAGAAAGTGCATTCCTGACCTGCAGGAGACAGAAGAGAGTGCGGATTCTTCCAAGGGAGCACAGAGCTCACCCACGCTTCCTTCTGAGGCCACAGAGGCCACAGAGGCAACAGACCGCAGCGCCGCCGCTGAACCTAACCAAGACCCTCCCAGACTTTCCGCTCAGGAGCAGATGAAGTGCCGGGGGAGCTCCCGTGGCTGCGGGAAGGCTCCGGCCGGCGAACGGACAGCAGCAGGGGAAGCACTGGTCGGAGTGTTCAGACGGGCGCGTCCCCAGTCATCAGCAAGACTGAGTTACCAAGACATGTCCTGTAACCCTTTGGACTCACTCGGGTCTTTCTTCGAAACAAAACAAAACGTGTTCCTGTAAAACCCATGGCTTACAATAAAATGTTCCATCCCTGATCCCTTTATTGGTGCTGTACTTGGTTTTCCATGCATTTGAAACCTCACAAGTGAAAAAAGGAAAAATGTGTAGTTTTGTATCAGTGCCGATCCTCGTTCTCCCTCCCTCCCGACCACGGCCAGCTCACTTGAGGGCTTGACCCCAATTCCCACGGCGCGGCCGGGCTTCCCTGGGCTCACATCCGCACACCCACCTCCCCGACGCAGCAGCCTGTTCAGCTTCCTTTAGAAAAATGCTGTTTAGGGAAAACTGTCTGGGTGTATGTAGTTTATTTTAAATTTTCTATTTATTGATTTAAGATAGAGAGAGAAGGGGAGGGGGAGAGAGAGGAATATTGATTTGCTGTTCCATTTATTTGTGCATTCACTGGTTGATTCTTCGACATGCCCTGAGACAAGGGATGGAGCCCACAACCTTGGCGTATCAGGACGACGCTCCAACCAACTGAGGCAGGTGCCTCTGCCTGTATTTATCGTCTCATTACTGACCCCCCACAGACAGGACATCTAAACATTCTTCTTCTCATTGGAAAGATAACCCCGCACTTTATGAGATCTCTGTAGATTTTTCACATTACTCCTTCTTTGTCCTTAAAAGTGTCTTAGAAATTAATCACCAGTGCTTGAAAATAATCACTGGCATAGTTTTCCTTTCTCCTATATCGTTAACATAATCTTATTAAAATATATAACGCACTGGTAATTACTTGGTCAGTGCCTGCCTTCTACTTACTGATGAAGTTGAAATGCATGATGGGAGGACTATGTTGTCCCGTCCTTTCAAAATGCGCTCAGTGCCACTTTTCACACACATCAAGAAATACGTGCCAAATGGCTGAAGGAAAGCAGCAAGAAAATACAGAAGTCACCTTTAATCCCATCGCCCGGAATTCATAGAGGACCAGTCCATGTACACGACTGCGCACTCGACACTTTAACACTGTGTCGTGCACACTTCTGTGTCTTAAACGCACAGTATTTCGAAAACATGGCTGTATGACACTCCTTTGCCTGAACACATCCACCCTCGCACGTTTTCTGACCCCCTGTCCACGGCAGGTGCAGCACTGGTAGTAAGGGTACAGCAGGGATGCACGTGTCCGGAGACTGAACGCTCACGAGCAGGCACTACTCAAAAAAAAAGAAAAGAAAACGCAACTGCACGTCGATCTCGGACAAAACATTCCTGAGTCTCCTTCTAGGGTGAGGCGCTTTGAGTCACACCACCCGGCTGCCTTTTTAAGATGGTGGGCAACCAACGGTTCCACCATGAAAAATCACAGCCCCTATCTATCGTCTGGCCACAGCGCCCACGCCGAACACAGTCCACGGGCGCTGGAGAAGAGAGTGGGGGGGGAGCCAACTTGTCCCCCCAGCAGCCCTCTCTTCAGCGCCCGGCGGGGCAAACTCCCCCAGGCCCCCTCGTGTTCGAGTTTCTCCTCTCCTGATCTCTCTGCTCACGCTTTTGCCTCGTCCATTGTTCTATGAAATGTTCATGTTTTTCTTATTGATCTGTAACCACAAAGAGTGAGAGATCCGTCTGCCATTCTTTCTCATTTTCTATTTGCCTTCTGTGTTCATGACAGCAAATATTTTCTCATTTGCTATGTGCCCTCTGTGTTTTTTATATTTAACATAGAGTAGCCCCAATTTTTTAGAGTCAACTCTGCTGACCTTTCTTTGGCTTTCCTCTGCCAATTTTTTTAATCCTCACCTGAGGACATGCTTACTGATTTTGGAGGGAAAGGGAGAGGAAGGGGGAGAGAGAGAGGGAGGGAGGGAGGGAGAGAGAAGGGGGAGAGAGAAACACAGATTGGCTGCCTGTCCTGACTGGGATCAGACACAACCTGCTGGTGGACAGGACAACGCCCCAACCGGTGGAGTCACCCAGCCAGGTCTCTCCTCCACAATTTTTATAAAAGTCTATTCCCACCCTGAGGAAAGTTAAATATACAACTGCGCTTCCTTTTAGTTAAAAAGAATTTACAGGTTTTAGATTTAACTCTTTAATCCACCTTGAGTTGTTTCTCTCCTCTGCCCGCCCCCCTCACCTCGGCCAGACTGCGGGGTACTCACACCAAGGAACTTGCTGGACTTTCTGAACAGGATCAACCATGGTGCGTGTTGCTCCGGTGCCAGGCTTGCGAGGTACCATTAATAACGCTAATGCTAATCCTCACTACAGTCCTGAAGGGACGTAATATTATATTGTTCATTCTTCTTAAGCCCCGGGAGCTGGAAGGAGAGCACGTTTCTAAGGTAAAAGGCCGACACAAGGCAGGCAGAGCGAGAACTTGAACTTATATTTGTCTGGCTCTAAAGCTTGTACAATTTCCACTCTACTGTGCTCTCCAAAGTGATCTCTATTCCTTCTGAAATTCTGTGATGTTTCCTGTCCTAATTATAAGGTATCCTGACTATCCTGTAAGGGTCAGAAATACCAGCAAGGAGCACAAGTGAGGGGTGTGGGCGAGTGCACCCGGCGGGCAGCGGGCGGCACGGAGGGTCAGAGTGCCAGGGCCGTGCACAGGGGCAGCTGGCTGCTCTGCGC